TCTTGTGTGGGGTTCGTGCGTGTGTATTTATACCTCGGATGTGTGAGTCATACATGTGATAACATCGAGACCTAGGCGTGAGGTTAATCCAAGATGCATATACGGGTGAATGAAGGGGGAGTTAAGGATTTGCGCGGCTGGCGCCATGCTGCAAAAAAGGGGAGCCCTATGTCGGAGGTGAAACGATCGGATTAAGAGGTTGAATAAACACGATTCACAACAGGTTTTATAGTTACTTTTAAAAGTTGTAAAGCAGGAATCCAACAAACATCAAAGCTGAGACACCAGTAACATCAACTAACGAAGATATTCGTCCTAAAAATTGTCCAATGTTAGACTAGAATCGACGTATTCTCATCGCTGAGAAAAGTCTGTTGTGAATCGGATCTAGGTTTCAAACGATCATTTGAGCCTATCTGGGCTGTGATGGATGCCACAAGCGTCGGGTCACCCCGCATACATGAAACAGAGCTACTGAGGAGATTCAAACCAGGCCTGAACACTTTCAAATCACTTGGTCATAACTGGGGATGAAAACTGCCAATTTATGAGCACGATTAAAAGAACGCGGCCAAGGGTAACTTCTTGACGTAAGATGTTCAAATTAGGATGGTTAGTTAAAATTCGACGTGCACAAGTTTCGTGAAATCCGCAAGAGGTATGCTGGGGGGGGGGGGTCATGTAGAAGGGAACTCGAAGGTCGAGACATTGCCGAAGTGGCAAGTTGTAATCCAGGATAAACTGTAGTGGCTTGTTTGCGCTACCTCACAACCCTGCTAGTTAACAGCCCGCATAGACCGCGGAAGGGAGGGAAAACAGGCGGCAGCGAATACAACCGTGATTTTGCACCTTGATGGACCACCCAAGTCTTCTGAAAGCAGAGCGCGTGAGTGAGTGAATGCCGACAGCCAAGCATAATCGGCGATCGACGGCATTCGATCAGCACACGCACGCTCGGTCGCAGAAATTACACTGCGAATTCCCCCGCCCCTCCACACACACACACACACGAATGCACTTTCAAAAGATTGAAAAAAATAAAATTCCTGTTGGCACTCATGGGTAACGTTCAACAGGGGGATTTTAAATAAATTTAACTTCTTCAGAAAGCATACATTAGGAAGGCAACAACAACGAATACGCAAGTTTTTTTCCAAATAAGAGAACTTTATAAGCCCATGTGCTTGAAAAAGTTAGTCTGGTTACTTGTAATACGGACAAGACGGGCACTGGTTAAATTCGACAAGTTATTTTATAACGTTGACACGAGAAATGAACAACTTAATCTGCTTGTGCGTTGTTTCCACTTACCCTAACCTAAAACGTACGCTCCTTTGCGTTAGATTTAAACGGTTTCAAAAACTACCACACTTATTCTTGTGGATCATATCGTGCCACGCAATATTAAAAAAAACCATAAGGATACTGGCGACGAACATTCACAACAGAGGTAGTAGGGATGACATACTGGTGAGCTGGCGGGCAGGTCGCATAAGTGTCTGATGATGACATCAACCACAACCTCGACGTCGTTGCAGTAGACGAGTTTTGCCGTTTTGGAGTCGGAAAAAATGTCAGCAATCAGTTTGCGAGCCGCGTTGCGTGGAGTATCGGGGTCGAGATGGAGTGTGGCTTCGGTGAGGTTCGCTTGAGGTGACGCACCCCGCTTGGAGCAAACAGACCTCGGCTCCTCATCCACATCGCTGCTGTACTCATCACTACAGCTGGTCCCGACTTCGCTAGCACCATTATGAAGTGACAGCGAGTCGTAGGATTTGGCAGAACGGTATGGATCTGGACTGGCAGAGGTGTCTTGATAGGGCGCAGTGGCATCGTATAGCTGAGAGGCGTCATCGAGGCCTGTGTGTAGGGCGCGACGAAATTGCCGCACAAACGCCACCCCGTCCACATCGAGCGGGTCGACTAAACGGTTAGATAGAAAAATCAAGCAGGATGGATTATTCCAGTTAGAGATGACGAAATAGCCAAAACATGCCGAGGGTTTCGGAAACGCTTTCCCCTTCATAGCTTAAACAAAGCCAACAAAGAGTAATTCAAACAGATTGAAGTTTAGCATGAGAACTACTGACAGTTCCGGTGGAATATCTTGTGGTGCCCTAAACAAAAGTAAACGCGTAATAGACGCACAAATGCTAATTTTCAAATACAATCAACCTATTCATCTCCTTAAAATCAGAGAATTACATTGACCAGGGCTTTGATTAAGCACAAATTTTACCAAACGACTCACCACCACGATTGAAAAGGTGGAGAAGACGTTCGATTAGAGAGCCTGTAGCGTTATGATTGTTGAGCATGGTCTTCAGGATCGGCGTCATAGGAGCGGAAGGCGAAGCGCAAAAGTGCCGATTCGCGGCGCACACCAACCGAACAAAGGAATCAAGAAGGAGTTCCGAGGGCGTCGTGTTACCGCTAATGTCGCTCCGAGTTGGTGGTGGCGCGTCGCCGTCGGTTAAGTGGAGCTCCGCCAGTGTATCAACGAGGGATGTTTTCGCCTTGACGGAAGTGAAATCGCCTGAGGGAGGTGGGCCGAGAACCTTAGGCCTCGAAATCATTGCAAAAATGTGACCGAAGAACGACTCATCCAGTTCATCTACAAAAAAGGTATCCAACTATTGGAATGCGAAAGCCACAAACATAAAATTCACCCAACCAGGAACCTGAAGGCCGTTAAGAGTAAACCAGGGATGAATAACACGGCAAAATGGTTGTACTAACTCTGACGTGGTTTTGAAGTTACTTCAAATTGAAATATCTCATGTGTTTCGGTCGTATTTAACTTAGCTAGAAAAGTTTGATCACTACCACCTTGTCCAGTAAAGGCTCACAATACAACGACGGGTGTTCTAGGGTCTAATCACTATCTTTTTAAAAAGACAGGTAAACCGACGCAGAAAAGACTCACGAGAAGTGCTATCATGTAAATCCTACAAAAAACCAATATCGCAAAAAAAATCCAGTAAATTAATCAACTACAAACAGCTAGCTTTGGCTAAATGGGAAATAAGGGTAAAGCTCTGCTTTCTGACCGCTCACAAAAGTCGTTCCGCGTCACGCTAAAAAGTAAGCATCACCAGAATCTATTACGCAAATCTTGATTCATATGGGAGAGATTACTTGATTGGACCCTGGTCTACAGGCGCTGTGTACTACAACAAATGCAGCGGCATATTCGTGACTTCACACGTAGAGCAGAGAGCCATTCCGACTAAGGTGAATCTTACGCGCCACCAGTGCTACCAAGAGGAAGCCCTTGCCTCATTCCTGAAGCAGTCACTGTAGTGCCGCCGTACGTGAGCACCGGTGGCACAAAGCCTCTCTCCTCTCCCCATGTCCTCATGGGTCACTTGCTCTTCTGCACATGAGACCAGCTAGCCGCAAAGCCAAATCGACCGACAGCTCTCAGGACCGAAGAGTCAAATGTGATAACCAATAATAAAAACAACTAAAAGAACCCAACCCACCAACTGATTCGGCGACAACAAATCGGTACAGTCGATTTCAGGTAATTAGATGCCGTCTGTCCACTGTCACTCCTTAGCATAAACAGCAGCACTAATCAAAAGATCCCCCACTAAACCAACAGCACATCTTATTCTCCTACATCACCCTTATCCCCGCCCCACCCCTGACAACAGATCGTACCGTTCGCCTTGCTGCAATGTGAATCTCAGTCAATGCTCCATCCCACGTTTAGGGATTCCCATCCCTATTGCATATCGTTCACCACATTTCGTCACACAGATAGCCAACGACGTGGCCAACCTCTACATTTAAACACAGCAAGCCCTCTTCGACTACGTTAGACAATTTATTGCTGTGAAAATGCTGACCAGCCCACTTTTACCCGAGTTTAGCGTGTTAACCTCTGAGAGTCACTTCCAAATCTACTTAAAATTTACTAACCTGGCCCTTTAAGGTAAGTCTCGATCGCAAAACTTCGATCATAAAATTCGAACTATTTTAACAGATGTCACATGAGCTTATGTGACAAGGTTCTTGATTGGTAGAAGTTCATTTGATAAGACAAGCCATGCAAAATATAGTCGTTTTGGGGTCCAACCCTTGTAGGAGGTTTGACCTATTGAAACAGGCCAAAGCGGCATCAGCCACGTAATTGCTGAATCAATGGAGAAAAACAAGGTAATCAGTTGAGAAACCATAAGGCTTCTTGAGGTGCTTGATACAGCCTTGAAAGTGCATGAATTCTTGAGGTTGATGATTCGAAAGAACACATAAGGGAATTTTGGCCCATGATGTAGTCCGTGGACATTCAGAAACGCTTGAACTTACTGTAAAGATTTACCGGAAGACTGCCGCTTCTCGCGAACAGCACTGTTAGCACACGAAAATTCAGAATCAAATCCAGCTGGCCTACAAAAGACCAAGTCACTTCTGAGGGTCGGAGTATAAACTGGAGTGATTAATGGAACTAAAACGGCCTAGATTGTTAATAAGAAAAAAAGTTTAAAGAGGCGAATTCGGTCCGTGTAAGCAAAAATTGGGTTCAAATTTAGTTGTTCCACAAGTAGTAGAACTAAGGATACATACTAGTGAATAGGAACTTGAGGAAGTTGTGGCTGTTGAAGCGAATAGCTATTACCAATCTTGCTGCGCCATCAGTTAAAATATGCTAGCCAACTTATTGATGATGAACATCTCAAACAATCAACATGTGGGATTATGCTGTCCAATTAACCTGTGCCAGCATTAAAGAAGAGAGGAGAAACGTACAAATCTCGGAAGATTTGAGCTCACGAATAACTTCCATCGGGAGCCCCGAATCCAGATAGACGGACCAGATTGTGGGCTGAATGTGGCAAGTAGCCACTGAAATCAACAGGTAGAACCGTCGAACGACAGCTCTTTTCTCCCTTTGATAAAGGTAACTTAGTATCACGGGAAGCCGATCATCAGACAGGAATGTTCGCACCATGTCCGCGCTTGCATTACACTAGAAGTAAACAAATTTACGACACATCCAGAACAAATTACCTATAAAAAATTTAGGACAGTAAAACTTTACCCTACCATGCGCCTAAGTGGATTTGGTCAGTTCACCTAATAATAACATTAACCAATTCAAAACATTGTTACGATATGGGTTGAAATACACACCCCACCAAATTAAATCAGTAAATCGAAAGCACATAAAACGGTCACATATTCCTTGAACATTTCCCAGCAACATAGCCAAAGCAAGTGTATTTATATAAACAAATATTGGAATACAGAAATTCGCTTGAAGATTAAATTGACCTACAATAAGCGTAGTGAGCAAATCCAAATCATTGATAACAGTCGCATCGTCCTCAACCAAAGGCCAACTATTTTCCTGCTGATCCTTCATTTTGTTTTCCAGACTTCTGACGTGTTTCTGGAGGCCCTTCCAGTCCTGAGTTCGGGAGTAGACTGACCTTGCAACAGAGGAATTGGGATCCTGAAGATTAATTTCCAGAATGTTATTAAGTTACACGGCCAACAGTACCTCACAGGACATCGAATGAATATTACATAAACACGAAGAGGATCACTTACTAATACTTCTGAAATAAGCTGCTTGGAAAGTGTTGCATATTGAGGATCGGCGTCCGAAAGTACGTTTAACATTTTTATAAATCCGTGAACGCATCGATCAAAACTTGTACACGTCGAAGTTCTTAACTTATCAAGCATTAAAAAACCGATTCCTGGTGAACGCTTTGTAATAGATTCCGAAGTCTCATTTGTTAAACTGCAAGCGCTTTCCACAGTCACGCTAGAAGGGGCATCTGCAGTAAGCACATTTAGGAAAGGAGCCACGAACCACTAGGCTTTACGCACTGTCGTTCACTATATCGAACAGGAAAACTTGGCGCACTTTCTGGTGGCGATCCGGAAAGCAGTGATTTTTTAAGCTGTTGTAGATAACTACAAAGTTGTTGTGAATTCTCAGACTTACTTTATTATCGAGAACTTATCGTAGATATCCTTTTCAGCTATTGCGACCAATGCAGATTCAATGATTTTAGACACCTCATTAGCTGGTTTTGCCTAAAAATGAGGATATCAAGGGATATACAATATTACCTCTGACTTTTCAACATAGTTAATGGGAACAGCACCCAGCCTTCCGTCGACGTGATAAACGAACAACCAGTGGTCATTTTCCTTGCGAAGACCAAGGAGATAGTCATTAGCCGAAAATGAAATTGACTGTTGGAACTTTGCTTCAAAAGCATAACACGTTCTAAACATCAGTTAAAAATGAGGGACTGGCAGTACAAGAAACTCGAGCGGACGAAGTGCAATGTGGTGTGGCGTCGGATCAGGGCGCAGACATGTTGGACCACCTGGCCTCAGCCAATCCCGTGTCTCTCTGCGATCCAATGGCATGCGGGAATGGAAGGCAGTCAACCAGAGAAGGACACGACTGAGGAGCAGTATATAATGAGCAGCGTGGCCAGCGTGGTGGACTCGGATGGAAGGCGCCTGACGCGTGGCTCTGGCTTCTGATTGGTCAATAAAGCCTGTTCTGTTGTACCAGTCTTTTACCTATTAGGGCTCGGGTATTCTACAGTGGCGTCGGATTAGGGCGCAGACATGTTGGACCACCTGGCCGCAGCCAATCCCGTGTCTCTCCGCGTACTAATGGCATGCGAGGAAGATAAGCAGCCAACCAGAGAAGGACACGACTGAGGTGCAGTTTATAATGAGCGGAGTGGCCAGTGTGGCGGACTCGGATGGAAGGCGTCTGACGTGTAGCTCTAGCTTCTGGTTGGTTAATAAAGCCTTTTCCATTGTACCGGTTATTTTCCCATTAGGGCTCGGACATTCTATAGCAATGACGTAAAAGGGCGCAGGCATATTTGAAGACAATTGGCTGAGCCAATCGTCTGTTCGTGTGTGGTTAAATAGCCTACTTTGAAGATCAGCAGTTAACCAGAAACAGAAACGCATGAAAAAGGCAGTACAAATTCTGCAAACCCAAGCCGTACCAACTACAGCTATTTGAACGGACAGAGATAGAGGATTGGCTGAGTTCAGCGGGATCCTACAGGCCTCCGCCGTTTTGAGGTCTTGGCTAATGATTATTTACAAAGCAATATCGATTATTCCAGTCTTCTCTATACCAGAGATAGGAAATTTTGCATTGGTAGTCGCAAAATACATTTAGACGATGTGATTCGAAACAAAAGTATTTTTTATCTTTGGACAACAGAGACGAAGACAATTGGATTCCAAATGAATTGTGCTCTTGCATTCCATCCGGTGCTGGGAAGCATTAAATCCATAGATAATTGAATCTGAAGGGGTATCCGCAAGACTGTAAATACAATAAGAAGATGATGAACAATTCAGACTACAGGTGGAAAAGGTACCTTAGATGTATGACGCAGCCTCCTTGTAAGTCAACAAGAGCAATGGTTTCTTGTCAAATAGGGGCTTAGAAAACCATCCTGCCAGGTGTGGTCTATTTAGACATGTTGGATTAAGATATTTAGTGATATAAAGCCTTGTGAATGTATAGGTAACCAAACCAGAAGCTAATGACAACATCTCTTTCGCGGGGTGAGCCGTGTTGTGGCACAAAAGGGTAGCAGCCAAATTGCTTCAAGCCGAACTCAAACAGAAGCCTGTCTTTGTGCATTTTGTTGGCCTGCGTCTAGGATCAGAAGCCAATCATGGCTAATTACGTATGTTGTCCAGTAAATAATGTATTCCGTAACCAGTATGGAGGGCTTGAATGTGAGGCATCTTACCAGTGCCTGGAAAATACAGCCTCCTCTGTTGCTCGTATCTGTTTTATTCAAGGGCCTGAATACAGCACGCAAGCAGGGTAAGCCCGCTCCCAGGAAAATTGTTGTCTTTGTTGCTCTGATTAAAATCTCTGTAGAAACACCGCTTTTGGAGCCTATTCGACGTAATTTGAAAAACAATATACTGGGCATAGGTTTTAGTGACAGATGTGTCATTCGCAGACTAACTAGTTAAAATTAAAATATGCGACATTCTGTCAGCAGTCAGGTTGATCTCATAATTTTTGACATGACTACTACGTTCTTGCTTCGGCACATAATTCAATACACAGAAATAATAAACAAAAGCATCACGTTTGAAAGTTTTGCAGGCTAAGTACAACTCGGATAAATACCAATAGCAATTTACATAGTAGTAACGCAATTGGAAGCCATAAAATCACTTCTTTTTGTGCAATAATAACGCATAGCATCTTAGAAAATTGACACTAATTCGTTTAAAACGTGTCATGTAATGTCTACATAGCCCATAATTTTGCTATGCTGGTTTTGTTGAAACACGATTCAAAGTCTACAACAGTGGTAGAGGAAAATGATTTAGCCCTAATGTGAAAAAGACCGGTACAACAGATTAGGCTTAATTGACAAATCACAAGCCAGAACCACACCACTAGTCCTAGTCCACCGCGCTGGCTACGCCTCTCGTTACATTCTGATCCTCATTCGTGTGTGTCTCTGGTTGCTGCCTATTCTTCTCGCATGCCATTGGGACGCAGTGAGACAGAGGATTGGCTGAGGTCAGTGTGGTCCAATATGTTTGTGCCCTTATACGTTGTTACGGCAGGAAACGGAACTGTGCTGGTTGTATACATTTATTATTTATCATTCATTTTAACCATACTTATTTTTACAGCATATATTTTTTTAGTAAACCCTTAATAAGAATTTAATGTTCTGGATTGCTTTTGCTGCTCATCGTGCATATCCATTAATGTTTTGGCAGTGTTATTTACCGTTTGCTCATCAGCTCTGTGTCCGGCATTTATACTCTGGCAACATCTTTTTATTTTTTTTTAAAAAAGTCTGTATTAACCCAATTTCTTTAAATCAGACACCTGACGTATATTTACTTCTAGTACAGGCATTTCATTTCCCCCATCTCTAACATTTTTTTCTTGACTGCAACAATTCCTCATGTGCAAAAAGTCAGACTTTCGAATACCTAGAAATTATATGTACCACTTACATAGGATTCGTTAAAGAAATTCATTTGACCTATTCAAGCGCCACTTATCTTGCCCTCTCTGCTTTGAATTTCTGACAATTTTCAGGTTCAATCATTCCATCCTAATTTCTGATTAGCTGCTAATCTTTCACGCAGACAGTTAAATTACACAAGCGCAGGAAATTAACCAAGGTCCCGGAATGATTTTACGTAGATGTGACCTCTTTTTGAAGTAGAACCCGTTCACTGTATTCCTAATATTTATACATTTCAATGAGTTTATGCTAATCTCACTTAAAATTCCGTATCCCAGTGCAACATTTTGATTTCGCTTTTCTATATTTAGATCTTATACCCATATAATTTCATATTTTTGATAGGAAAAGACTAAATGTTTATTGCATCTCTGCTTCGATAAATTTAAAATTCAATTTTGTACCTTATTTACCACTGTAGCCGTCAAAAATTCGATTTCCCTATTTTGAAACAAATTGCAAAAATAAAGAAAATTAGAGGAAACACGTATGATTATTAGAAGTCTCTTTCTGTAGAAAAAAACGTTACTTTTCTTTTAAATTAACCAAATGCACAAATTCGATAATTTGACCATTTTATTCGATCTCCAGTTTCTCAAGATCACATTTTTTGAAGCTTTAGTTACACGGAATTCAGTTTTTTTGTTTTATTATTGAATTTTTATTTGAACTTTGCATGATATAATCAGCAATTTTCCTGAGTCTTTATTCACCTATCTTTATGCACACGCAAACACTTACTTGAAGTGACCAAACGGTTGTGCCTTATAACGTAAAGTCCTCGTTTAATCACGGTTGGTAAGATCGGAGCCAAATAGTACTAATTACTATAAACTAGACAGTTGCGTTTCTTTCTGAATATGAATTACACTTCAGTAAATTATTCTGTAGCAACATTCCGGTAAAAGTTGTAGGATTTAACTCTTATAGGTTCAGTACAATGGTAAAACCCTACAACTGCGTCATTAGACTTGCACTACATCATTATCCTATTTTATTGCAGTCCAAATTACAATCTCAAAATTTCACCGGCCATTGAATTTTTGCAAAATTTGCCCACGTTTGTGACATCTTGGAATTGATGTGCAAGCTATTTTTAAGAAGGTTGCTTAAGTATCTTTTGATGCAGAAAATCATCAAATACCAGAAACTGTATAATCCACTCCTAATTGTACACAGATCGGTAACCTCATATGTTAAATAATTATTTCAAGAGTTAGTTCTTATAAACTACCTAATTTTGAGGAAATATTCTGTAATTCACTTCAAATGCTCTTTTCTGGCTCGAAATGCAGCATGGTGCAACGGAGCATCACGACAAAGGAAAGCCAATGTCATTAAAGAAAACTGTTCTTATGACATTTCACAAGGATTAAACTGCATAAATTGTAGTTCAGATTTTTGTGCAACTCTATGTTTTATCAGCTTTTTAGTCATTTCAAATATTATTACGATTGATAACCATTAATAGCATTTGTTAATCCTCAAAATAGGTATCTAACAATTTTTTAAAGATTCCTGGCAGCCATCTAACCATGACGTGGATGATGCCCGACATACTTTGATTCAGGGTTTTTAGTCTATTAGTCAAATATAAACAAACTAAGAAGGCGGTAAACACACCTACTAGAAGTAACAAGCGACTGAATAGATGAGTTTGTTTGTTCAAGATATAGCAAACAACAACCATTTGAACATTTGGAAATAAAATGAGATGAGCACGATTGCTACATAGACTTTACTAAAGGAGCAATTTCTTATACATTTCAAACCAAGCTTTGATTGTGAAATCAATATTTGGTTAGCTTAAATATGATTTATTTTCTGAGCAGTCACACACTACATCTATGCTCAACAGAATTAATCCGCCAAAGTCAACCGTTTGATCAAGGAAAGCACGAAAATATGCATGCACCATAATTGCTAACATAACTGGCTCGGTAGGTATGCGACAGCTGAGAGCACTAGTGAGCAAAAGCTTTATAGTCAAAACACAAGCCAGAATCATGTCAGGAGGTGTCTATTGAAGGCCACCACGCTGGCTGCACCACTCGTTATATACATCCTCTCATCCGCCCTTTTTTCCGGTTAACTGCAATTCTTCTTCACAGGCTATTCAAATGCACGAAGCAGAAGATTGGCAGAGCATGGCGTGGTCGAACATGTCTGCGCCCTTTTAGGTCACTATTGTAGAATACCCGAGCCCTAGTATTAAGAAGACTGGTACAACAAATTAGGATTTATTGACCAATCACAAGCCAGAACAACACCTCGGGCGCCGTCCATTCGAGCCCCCCACACTGGCTACGCCGCTTATTGTATACTGTTCCTGATTCGTGTATTTCTCTGGTTGGTTGCTTATCTTCCTCGCATGCCATTGGAACGCAGAGAAACAAAGGATTGGCTGAGTCTGACGTGGTGCAACTTGCCGATGTGGTCCAATCTGTCTGCGCCCTTATACGTCGCTACAATATACAAGCCAAGTATCATAACAGTTCATTTTGCACTAACAAGTGTAGTGAAGTGTGATCTCCTTATACCGTCATAATAAGTGTCGGACAGGAAAGACCTAGCTTTTTGCCATCAGAAGGACACATGAAGCCTATTTAGTTCCCTTAATATTTCGTGTTTTTTTGTATAGGACTATATATTAACATGTGGTGGGGCCACAACTAACTCATGCTTTGATCTGCTCCCCTAAAATTAATATGGCCACCAGGAATATATGCTTGATTTAATTGTTCGCAGCCGAAAAAATGCCAAAATTAGACATGGAGATCTGACGCCTGAACTGCCAAAGCTGCAATATAATGAATTTATTGACTCTGGCCAAAATTACTTTACTAAATATGTGTTTAAGATATGAATAATATTGCCTTCGAGGTGCAACTATTTAGCTCCTACAATGCTTTATTAACTCACCATGAGGATAGAAAAAAATGAAAACTAAATTGCACTACTAGAAGCCCTAGTCTGTACGTTGGTCGTTAATTTCAACAGCGCGTTTTTTGCATTTAGGACTTAAGAAGCACGAATTTTGCCTCTAATAAAAGCAGAAAATCAGCATCCGGTTTAATTTTGTAAGGATTCTTAATTAAAAAAATCGGAGGCAATTAATTTATATATAAAGTAAGGTTTTAACTACAGTTGATTCGAAAAATGTTTCAAATTATCCTTAAATTTTGCTGTTAATTAAATATTCACTAAGATCACAAAAAGTCGTAGCTATGATAAAAAACTAAAATTTGTGGGCAAATGTGTGGGGACACGCCAGAGAAAATAGAGGGTTCTGAAATTCGTTGTATAACTTGCAAATTTGAACTGCAGTTATTTTCCAATTTAGAAAAAGTAGGCACATTTTATATCGCTGCTTTAGTGTGTTGCTAAGATTAACCTAGCAAGCTTTTAACTAGGTTTGCGCATTCAGAGTAGGGATTTTCAGTCATAAAATACGTCCTGGGATCGTGTTTGACAAGTCACAAACTCACAAATCAAATAAATAATCATTGGTCAAACATCCGTATTTAGGTAAATTTGCGATTTGGACCTCTTTTTGTTTTTGTTACATGCTTCAGTGAAATTATGAGTTTACTATGCGTACAGGGTACAGTCAAGCAAATTTTTCTTTAGTTTTTTAGCTGGTGTTAAAAAAAAACTTTTTACATAGTCTATGTATAAGCAACATCATTTAATTTATTATGCTGCGGATTTCGACTGATTCAAAAAAAATTGAGTGTTTAAAGGGTACAAAAAAATTACATAAATTAGCTTGCATTCCTTCGCTTTTACTTTATTGATATAGCATCTTTAATATAAACAATATTTAAACTTATGGCTGTTAGAAATTTAATAGAGCTATTTCATTGTGAAGACGACCATTTACAAGAAACTGAGTGGGAGATTTGGCCTGATACACCATATAGTTTTGGAATTTTTTAAGTTTCCATCTTTAATTTACCTTAAATTATAAATACAATAATGCCTATTTTCATGGTTTGTCAAGGTGACTGTTCATGTGCAGAATTTTAGCTGAAATCATACCCATGACATCGTTAGTATGATAAACGAAAATTTAATACATAATATTGGTTCTGGAACGTTTTAAAATATACAAATATTTATTTATTGCCTTATAGCAATTGTTAAGTAATAGCTAAACGCTTTGGAAACCTGACAAATTGTATATGTTTAAGTTTTGTTTAACTGTGTTGTCACATGTTGTGCACTTTTCGTCGTTGACACTACTCGCTTGGGAATGGCCGACACACGTCAGAAATCAGCTCTAGTTGAAAAAAGTGAATCCAGCAACGAGCCCGAAAGTCATCTTCTGCAATATCCGTAAGTTACTTTTTTAAGTACGACCGTAATTTTATTTTTTGGATTTGTCGTTATGTTTAAAACAACTTGTTTGCATAGTCTGAAGTGATTGACGATGCTTAACCACCCTTTCTAATGCAATTTTTAGACTTTATAGCTGAGTTTGCGTTTTGTACTTTTTTTATTGTTTTCATAAATAGTGCATCCTTCTGGTACTACACTTTTATCATGTTACTTAAAGGTCATGTTTTTTAACATTCTTTGAATCCCCGTTGACGAAGTGCTTTTTGAAATAACAAATTAAATTTTTGTTCCGCCGACAATTGCTCATTAATTTTCTTCAAATCTGGTTGCATATTTGCCTAGTAGACCGTTCTTTTGATGCTAAGTTTGCTTTCGTTCTCCGATTGCTCAGTTGCATTTCTAGTGAAGCTCTCCTGTTGGTTAAGAATCAAACTAAATAAAGCTTAATGCTGCATTTCAATTTTAGCTGGAATTTCTATGTCTTTTCTTATGGCTTGGGTCGTGCCTGGGAAGAAAGTATGCAGAAGATCGTAACATTCAGCACTGTCGAACACTTTTGGAGCATTATGTTCCACACCCTTCCTCCTTCAGAAATTGCTAATGGCACTGATCTGTATGTTTTCAAAGATGGCATTCAGCCTATGTGGGAAGACCCAAAAAATCAGCATGGTGGCCGTTGGCTTATCAACGTGCCTAATGTCAAGGACCTCAATCGGTAATGTCACTAAGATGGCTTTTTGATTTCTGTGTCTGTTTAATGGTTGGGATTACTTCGATGGTTCCCATGCCTTAAGTACACCCATGACATTCACGACCCGCATTTATTTGTAACGCAACTTCAATTTTTTTGAAAAATTATTTACATCGGCCAGCATAACTTATTCATTAAAAGTTTAGCCACTTAAGTAAGTAAGCTCTTTGAATACCCAAGGATTCGTATTTCTGTGACTTCTTTTATGTTCCTTACCTAATCTATTTGCTTGATCACACTGTGTACAGCATGTGATAAATTGAGTTGTTTGCTGTTGACCCGTTTCCTGCATTCGTACCTGAAAATACACGAAATATACAAATAATTGTTGCTTTGTGTCTCATGCCAATTACCCACAAGTTGTTCGCTGCGTTTGTTCACTTCTGGTTTATTTTGGTTAATTCAAATCCATTTATAGCTAGCTTGCTTTCATGGGAGATATTTTTGGAAATGATCATGCCTTTGTCAGGCATCAGCATTTGGCTCATTTTTCTTTGCCTGGGACATGGTGCCTAGTGATTGAACCATCCGTCGTTTGACTTAGCATAATTTTGTTGTAGAAAAATATTGCCCTTCGGAATATTATCTCTGATGCTTCTTTTGAGGATTTGTCTAATTCCTCGTACGTTTATATTTTTCTATTTATTTATGGTTTATTCGGTACTTTGTTAAGGTACTGGGAAGAACTTTTGATGCTGATTGTGGGAAACAGCTGGGACACTGAACAAGAGTCGGAGGAAATTTGTGGTGCAGTGTTTCAACCAAGAGCTCGTGGTGTTAAGATAAGCTTGTGGACTTCAGACTGTGAGGACGAGGAGAGCATTATGCGAATCGGTCGTCGCGTAAAAGAAGTTCTCAATTACCCTGACCGCCTCCTCTACCAGACCGTACAGCAACAGCAGAATGCACCAAAAGGGCAGGACTTGGCCCAGGGCAAGTACTTTGTATAACTCGCCCACGTCCGTGCTGACTGTATATTGATGATCAGCGCGCGCGCAAACACACCATCGTTATTGTCCTGTAATTGGTTGCCTTGTTTGCTTGGTTCCCAGTGTAGCTATGTCGATCCGCTGTGTTCACTGTGTTTTGAAGAGCTCTTATGGTTTAACATTGGGATATTTTTGCTCTTACTTCGATTTACCAATAAGGGAATTTGGCATCTTCGGTGTAATTCAGCTAGATTTTTTTAATGTTGCAAATATCAAACATTGCTCCCTAAAATACGACTAGCATTCACACAGGAAATTTACGTGGTTTTCGTTAACTCACCCAGTGCAACCCCTCTGATTTCGTTAAACTCCTAACTCAATAGCCAACTCTCATATGGTGTAGCAGTTTGTAGTTGCTAGCCGTTACACCCATTTGCAGGACGTTTTGTGTGATGGACTCCTTTAAATGATACATCACGTGTAGAATCGGATAATGTGGATCACTCGTCTTGGTGCTACCTATTTGGGATCAAGTATGAATAAACAGTTTAAGGTAAGGTAGCGATAGCGTTTCGTTGTGCAACAAGCCCTGCCTCAACATCGTTAGTGCATATTGTGATAAAATTTAACAGCTGACCATCTAAAGCTGGAGTCACTTGAGTAGAGACCCACCCATGCACGAGTCTGGGCGAGTTGAGAGCAAGAGATTTTGGTGGTCTTTACGATGATTTTCTAGTCGAAGGAATCGCCTTGTGATATTAACCTCTGTGGACCATGTTCTTTTGGAAGGCTATTGAGGATGGTTTGAAGTCATACACGTGACGGTAAGCAAATGGAATCGGGCTAGTGGGGAAAAATACATGGAGTTGAGTTGTTACCGGACAGTCAGTTTGAGACCTTTGAAGGGCATCGGGACTGGGGCGATGTGGTGAGATTTCGCAAAGCGCATCCTAAACAGATTCTCACAGTGGCATGTTGGTTACGCGCAAGGGCTGAATCTCGCAGCAGTTGTAAAATTGCCACCGCAACTGCACTGGCTCAGTTCTCTAGAATGTAAGTTATCAGAGCCTGGTGGTCAATTGAAATGGGAAGGCTGGAGAACAAGCTCCACCCATGTGAACGAGTTCAATCGAAATGCAAATTGGGTTAGCACAACGAAATCTAAAAAAACAATAGAATGTGGCGAATAGAAGATGAACGTGGCGTCGGTAGGTTTATTCCAATTCGATATAGGCTGGTAGGAAGGTGTTCCCGAATTGTCTAGTCCAATTTGGTAAAATATCTATCAGATTGTTGCCGGGTCAAATCTCTTGCCTTCGTAGTATTGAGGCAAACGTGCTATTTTTTTTATAGAATCGGTTGTAAGGTGCTTTTAGAGCCTAAGTTTGTCGCCTTACCCATACACACAACACGTCCTGTGACCGACACAAATGTAAAGTTTTTGAATAGCCGCAATCGAGACTTGCGCTTAGTTTTAATGCTCTGCAGTCAAGACCTAAAATACGCAATTTGTCCATGGAAAAAGTGCTTGAATGCACTGGCAAATGCTGCGGATTCGTGTGTCGCTAGGTTTAACGAAACTATGCACAAACCTCATTTTAGGCTTTTTGTAAAATACCAGCCTCATTCCCACGTGCTAACGGGACAAGCGATTAGAAAGAAGAGTAGCCTATCAAACGCTACAAGGCCGGAGGTCTGTTTTACAGTAAGAAGTTTGATATTTGGCCTCCGACTTGATCATTTCGTTGAATGGTTTATCATCACCTAAGTTTTGCTGCGACTGTCTTCACAGTGCGGATAATTGTGATATTCCAGACAGTCGGTGACTCATCAAACCACATTTCAACATGAAGGGAAGTACTTAGGCGGGAGGTGGTACTGTCGAAATGCATGCAAGTCAAGGGCAAGAGTTTACTAAGGTGAATCACATGTCATTCTGAAGTAGACTTAGGCCATTTTCTCCAATGCGTCTAGTCACAGTCCCTTAAGCTAATTTTAATTTTTTTGCATAATCCAAGATTTGGGGAGTCCAATTTTGTCCATGAGAAACTTCTGCGGATTAGTGGATTAAGTTTCTTAGCATTGAAATAATTTTCTTTGAAATTGGTGTCAAGGATTTCATTCACATCCACCCAGACCCGCAATCTCGTTGCTGCCTTTTTCCGACTGCGTTATATAGAATGCCTATGTTGGTCCGTAATTCGCGTTTTGTTAGTTTTCTAACCCGAAGACTCGGTGAGTAATTACTTACAACGGGCCTCACTGCACGGATCTTCCATCCAGTCATGAGTTTGGTGGTAGGATCTGCTAAAGTTTCCTTGCAGGGGGCGTGGTCAGATGTTCAGTTCGCAGACTCTTCCGTCAGCCATTTCCTGGGTAAGCAAAGGAATTAGCAAAAGTCCTTGTTTGCTAACCAGCTATCATGTGAACAATTGAAATGAAAGCCTTAGGTCAATATGGCATTCGGGGCAGTGTTGCAGCAAAACTAGTAGGTCTATTGAAAATGGACTTTAGTGACGGAACAAGTGGCCATGTGTGAGTAGGCTTCCAATCGGCATAAAGCAAAGTAGCAAAGCAAATGTGTGGTAAATGATGTGTTTAGTTGGTACGGCAGTTTGGTTTCACAAATCGGAAGTGTCCCGGGGTCGCAATGTCGCAGACTGCGCCTGCTATCAGTGGTTGTGGGCTTAAGACTTGTCAAAGCATTTAAAGCTGTGAGAATAAAGTGCTACTGAGCGGATTTTTATGATTGAGCGTCTGTTTTGGTGTGTGAGCACGCAAACATGGCTTTAAGCTTGCAAAGCAGGTCGTGAGCACGTACCAGTCTAACCGTACAACACTGCTACAGTATGCGCCTGTAACAATTAAGACGCTGTCGCAGATCAGATTTGGAAGTTATTCGATAAGTTACCAGAAGCACTAGACATTTTATAGTGTCCGTCTCGACCGATTCGACTTCCATAGTTGGTTCCTCGTCAAGAACAAGGGTTTTTCCGGTGGTGTTGGCGGCGGCGAACATTCGTGGACACGCAAATTTTACGACTGATGGTGCTTTTAAGAATTAAATTCTGGTTAAAATACATTATTGATTGTTTGGCATAAAAGTGTCTAGAGTAGCAGTACGGACGGTATGTAATCTTTAGTGATGTCTCCGTAATCTCAATTTGCAATTTCTCGTGGTTGAAGGTCTGATCAAATGCCAAAAGGCTTTGTTTCATTTGAATTCCCTGATATCACGACTTTAGCTGTAGAAATATCGGTTACCATTTTTGGTAGTTGTGAAGTATCATTTTAAGTAGTGTGGACTAAATTTCGAAAGTGAAATTTTGCTCCGAAAAACCTTAAAACAGGTTTGCTGTCAGTGCACATTATTCATAACTGGGATCGGACGAAGCTTGGTGAAATGTTAAATTTGACGTAATTATTTTGAATACTTTAAATCTGCTCATGACAGCAAGAAATTGTCGTTCATCCGCAGAGTATGAAAGTGAATGTCGCACCGTTCGGTCGTCTGCATGTCACGTGATCGGAATCCACGTCAGACATCAACACGATACTAAGGCTGACTAATGATGTCGCATGTAGCCACAACGCATTTCGGCAGATGCATATATTAGCCTGATTATTTGGCCAATTCTTTACACTGTCTTTGTTTGGAATTAAAATTTTTTTGTTGTCTGAATTCACTACCTTCATCTTTGCAGTTCTGAAGTGGTCTGGTGTTCACAACGTCTGCACGAGATTGTTACGAGGTTGCTAAAATCCTGTCAATGGTGGGTTATCATTTCGTTTAGCAAGCGAGTTATCACAACACAGACGCCTCCTGGACAAAGGCAGTCACTGGTTGTTTCTCAGTTTCTTACGTCATTATCACCTGCGTGGTTATGTCTGGAATTACAGCAGTGTTACGTTGATTCATCTAGAACTACAATGATGGAAAAACTGGTGTATATACGTCACGGTATCTTGCAGGGATGCATTTTTTTCTGTTTGTGTACCTTCTTCGATTTTGTGACAAGCATGGTGAGGGGCTTTTGACGACAACGATTTCATGGATTGTTTGCGAAGTGTACTGAAGGCCAGTGACGTTAAAAACGAGGAAGCCGGACACTACTCCTACGTCCTTGGATGTGAGCAGGTGTGCAAGATGATTTCGCTGAATTTGACCATTAACAGTAGGGTATTTGGTAAATCATTTATTAATCACTGACTACTCTGAAACCTGAATAGGTCATAAAACGGTAGGTTTTCAAGATGCTTGCAGCACAGCGCATAACAGTGATTAATAGGAGGCTGCTAGAGCATCTGCCTGAATATGCTAATTCGGTTTCGTAATTAGTGGCGGGGTGTGGAACACCGACAACGGAGTAGAGGACGAAATGTCTTGAGGGTTTTGCGCATCTATTGCAGAATTCGGCGATCATTCAGAACTCTATTGATTTGCGTAGGTCAGGGGCATGTGATCGGTGGCATTGGCGAATGATAGACTCTCTTAAAACATTTTCAAAGCAATTGGCTGCGTTGTAAAATGCTAAAAATTCACTGAGTTTCGCAGAAGAGTATATAGGGGATTTGACTTTTTCGATAATTTCGGAAAAGTTAATCAATGGCTAAATTTGCTAGGCTGCATGTTTAGTTAGAGATTAAATCGTCGAAATTAATTACGACCTCCAGCTTCCGGAAATGGGCAATTCTCTTTCACTCAATCTGAAGTGGGTCGTAGCTCTTCAGACGGGACCAAGTGCCGATGGTGAAACACTGAAAACGCACCCTTCTGGTCGAGCATGTCTAAAATTCCAAGGTGTCAAAATTGTGTAATAATTACGTGAAGGCGAGTTCTAAATTTTGTGGCATTTTGCGGCTAAAACGAGAGATTATCTGCGGTACGTCACGAAGGCAATCAGACACTAGCACAATTAAAAAACCACGAGCTCCACAATATTAGCTTCTTAATTTTTGTCGGTTTAATTGGTATCTGATGATAAGCCAGCACCGAGTTCAACATAGGTAATATGACCATTTTCTGTGTTTGGATTTGAATAACTGCCCGATGTAATTACTGTTGTGAATCGTGTTTATTCACATCCCTTAATCCGATCGCTCTGCCTCCGACACAGGGTTCCCCTTTTCGCAGCAAGGCGCCAGCCGCGCGAGCCCTCAACTCCACCTTCATTCACACGAGTATTTGGATTATCCTCACACCTAGGTCTCGATGTTAGCGCATCTATGGCTCACGCATCCGAGGTATAAATACACACGCGCAAATCCGACGCAAGGACACCAGTTTTGATTGAAATCTGAAGTAAACGGTTGTGTCCACGTCCGCTCCGATCTTTTCCTTCATCACGGGTATCAGGAAAGCATAATCGGGCCAGAGTTAATTCCGTGGCCCCGGCGTGGTTCAAGACCACATGCTGGGGCTCACAACAATTGGTGACCCCGACGACAACTTTACTTATTTTAAACTGTCTAATCACCGCAACGTAGCCACACAAAAATAGCAACCTTAGAAAGGCATATAGATGGCAGTTGATGAATCGGTGTGGGACTAAGGTACAGAGGTACAGAACATGAACATTGCAAAGGTGTCACAAGGTCCACGGGTTCACACTTACACAATCTCACACGAATCTCACCCCTTCGCATCGATTCTACTGTTGTCGCCCCACCACGGTTCACTTTCGCACCTATGAACCGAGTTCGCAAGTCCGCTAGCCACACACGAGGCTCCTCTGGAATTGCAATAAGTACACGCTGAGTCAATCGCAGTCTGTTCTCGCTTCTCCGGGCGCTGGCGCTCATGCCGTAAACCGACCGGGTGGCAGATGAAGATCCTGGTAGGTGGCGAGCAAAGGCGTTGGTGGCTGGTAAAATCTAAAACGAAGGTGCGATTGTCTTGTGTGTTGATTGACGATGCTAGCGCCTAGGGATTGATTCCATGTTGAGTAGCTTGTGACAAAGTAATCATGAGGATTTTTAGCCTAACCGTAGTTTGGAAGGCTGTAAATCTCACCGCCTCTGCCCATCAACAGATGGAACTGTCCTACTACTTGCATGAAGGATTCGGAGATGTTTCTCAGTAGTATAAATCCTCGGAGGAAATCTGTGCAAAAGCACTCTGCGAGATTTGACCTATTCAAGTTCATACGCGCGTAACCACAATGAGCCTTCAGTTGCAGGATTGTGTCCGCCCCTCCTTTGTGTGATGACTCTTTCGCACAGCTTCTGTTTGAATTCGTTTAATTGAAATGTGTTCCGTCGGATTGTAGAAGGAGTGATGTGGCCTAAAAACAACGCTCAAGTTTCTGTACTTTGTTGTTTTAAACACTTGAATCGAACTTGACTGTGTTTGCTTTCGTACAGACAACTTCCTTAGATTCAGTTGAAACGAATTCCTGGACAACATGTGTTCAGACTGAATAAATCATTGTTTATTCATTCGAAATGACAGCAGAATTGTACAAAATCGCAAAAGAGTGCTCTCAGGAGCCTCTTTAGACAAAAATGAAGGACTTGTCCGCAATCAGCATCTGGCGTGTCACCGAGGCTCGCATGATTGATCGGTCCGCGAAGGTCGCGAACAGAGCGCTAACAAAGAGGAGGCAGATGCCCAGGAAGCTGAAAATGGGGCCGTGCGCTGCAAGAAATTAGGAAAAACAAATTCGGTCAGTTCGTATGCAAAAACACTTCTTGCGTTCTTCCGGAGACAAAAAAAAGACAAACTTGGAAAATTCCAGAAATTACAAAAAAAATAATAAATTACTTTTTTTGTTGGCACGGAAAATTTTGGTGAAAATGGTGACAAAGAAATGCCAGAACCCTGCCCATGGTGTGTTTGGGAGAACACGCGGATTGTAGTAGAGTGCAAATGGCTGTGAGAGGCACCTCTTTTTTGACTTATTTGAACAGTTTAAAATAAAATAGCAGGAAGTCTTTTTTGATCGCGAGTTCACCAAAGAACTCATAATTTTTCGGTAAAATGGTTTTAAATCGGAGTTTGAAATTAAATTAAGGTGTTCTTTTACGTTCGCACTGGAAGAGAATGTTTCAACAAAGGTGAAAATTTGTGTAACGTTGCTTAGCCTCGCGCTAACAGGTACCTATTTATAAATTCTCGGAATACTTGTGCTAAAATTAATAAATTAGTGTGATCACATTAACCATTAGTGCTTTCAGCAGTTGACGATCCGCTGTTCTGATCGCCCGTCCTTTCGATGCTTAAATTTTGTGCATTAGCATGGACTTTCCGTAAGAAATATATTCACAGTTAACACATTTGCAAACAGGCATCGCGTTAAATTCATCATCGGCCACTCTATCGATACTCGAAATTGCGTATGTGGAATGTGTAACACGTGAAATACAAATCTTACATGTATAATCTATAGGTTTTCATTAGCCGCATCGACCACGAAAAAATTACAAAAATATATTACTGAAATGTTAATAGTAGATAGTTGAGATTGATCATCGAATCACCTTCTCGCTAAAACCATTGAAGAACCAATCAAACCAAGTGGGATTTCGGAAAGCCCAGAACACGGGACAAAAGCACATTATTAATAGCCAATGCCCAATTTTTGTCTCGAGTATCGAACTGCTTTCACTGATTTATTTAACAGAACCAATTATACACTAAAGATTACAATAATTTTATACAATCTCATTGATTTGGTAATAGAAAAATGCCATCGGCACAACAGACTTATTTCATAGGCTGTGATTAAACACAAATCCTTGTTCATTTTCACGACGAGTTTAGAATCAACAAAATCAATAACGCAAGGTCGTAAAGTCGGGAGACTTCTTCCACCTGGGCAAAGTTTTAAAAAAAACATTTGAACCAGATGAATACGCAAATTATGTGTTGGCAGTACAGCAGACGAAGCGTTGAAAGCATTCGGAAGTGGAAAACCCAGTTGCCAAAGCACTGGGGTTCCTAATTATCTCAGTAGCCGCCGACAAAGTGTAGTCAACAATTGGTTACAGACTGCCCAATCAGAGTGAAGCAAAGTGATGACCACTGAATGGGGTTAAAAATTTCTGTTAGTCGCGGTAATCGATATCCTATTATATTCGATTTTTGGTCTTAGCTCACCGTCTCACACTGATTTTAACTTGCCGACTTGCAAACGCGCATTGTCATAATGCACAATCAAGCACTGAACGCTTGGTGGGTGAACAGAAAAGGCGACTCCTCACCCCCCTCCCCTGGGCGTTTGAAGCCTGTGGGTGTGTGAAAGCGCCTTCACACACACACACACACACAACGCACTCACAAGCTTGGCGATTCGCCGCCGCACTTAAAAGGTGGCCGCAATTCGACTTCGAGCTACGCCATTCCGCCTAAACACGGCGACTGGCAAGATAATTACTTCAAGTTTTACTACTATCCCAGCATTTTCCGCTTCTGTGCACAATGGGAATGTCGGGCCACCAAAGCACAATGTGTAGCGGATTAACAGCAATAGCGCCTGAGTGAACCCTGCTTACTGACCTGACGGTGACAATGACTCATTCCCTTTTCATTGGTTACTGTTATCAGGAGCCTGTCATCCGCTCACTCATCTTCACACTAAGACACACTTGGCTGGCGTGACGCTAATAAACGGTCGTGTCCTCTGTCGCCTCTCCTCACTCCCTTCTCGGATTGTTACGGGCTGTTAGCTAGAGGGTTGTAAGGTAGTGTTTAGACCACAAGCCACTACGAATGCACATTTTAGTGAATTAAACATAAAGTTAAGAAGTAATGGTATAGTGCTCGAATTATCAACTACAACGTTGGTCACAGTTGAATTTTGATTTGATTTAAAGAAAATACGTCACGAAATTAACTATATACTGGGTAATCGTCTACTAAATAATTTGATCAGTTGGAAAGTATGATTCGATCACGAAAAAGCTGTGTTAAAAAACGCTTGGGAAAGTTTAGAAGGCACTCATTTTTTTAGAATTACGTTTATTACCATCTCGTGTTGACATTAGGGGTTGCTGCCAAAGGTCGCAATTCCACTTTCACTCAATTCGGAGCTGTAACCTACTGCTACTGAATGCTCTCTTAGCCGAACCCCGAGTTTTGTGTTAAATTTTGTCAGGATTCAGAGAAATGCTACAAAATAAGACAGCTTACTGTGTACTTAAGGGAATTAGAAGTAATTAGGCAGACGTGTGGGCAACTTCAGTAACGTGGGAGAGGCTGGTGGTGCGTGCTGCCATCGGTGGGAATACTGAATAGAGCGCATGTTATTCTGGACAGATGATGATCGCATAAAGCATTAGGAAACTACTAAATTTTGGTTATTTTTAGTAGAAAAAAGCGAAATGACTTAGTTTTGTGGACTGTAAGAACAGCATTGCGAAATCTTTGACTTAAAACACGTGTGCCTTGCTGCATTACGGCACTCAACTCTTTTCAAATCCCTTAGTTGGCTGTTCCGATTAGGTTTCTTTCTACAACATGCGTACAGATTCACATGCATGTCCCACGCTCTCCACGACACAACTCTGACTATCACGTTAATATTAAGTTGGTGTAGAAGTGACGCGCGTTTACTACTACTACTACTAACACCACCACCACCACCACCACCACCACCACCACCACCACCACCACCACCACCACCACCACCACCACCACCACCA